TGCTCAGCCTTGCAGTTTTGAATTTGAATATTCCCAGAGGTGGAAATCTTTAGATGAAATGGAAAAACAGCAGAGAGAGCAAGTGGCGAAAAACATGAAAGATGCCAAGGACAAACTTGAAAGTGAGATGGAGGATGCTTATCATGAGCATCAGGCAAACCTCTTGCGTCAAGGTAGTTTGTTCTGAATTCTGTATCATATTTTTGCTTTAAATGCTAGCTTAAATGTATGGCTGTTTAACGGTTTAACGAATAATTTCATGCTTCCTACTGCTAACTTGAGAATTTCAGACAAAAAAGAGTAACTGGTAGTTTTTCAATTTTTATTTAAATGAAGTCTTGTTAAGAATAGTGATGCTCTGAAGGTAGCTGTCTGCCATAGTGCAGATGAGGTTGATCTAATTCAAATCTGAGCTTAAATCTGATACGAGTTTGTGAAATAGCTGCTGACAAGCTTCATTTCTGCAGACCTTATGAGGCGTCAGGAAGAACTGAGGCGTATGGAAGAACTCCATAATCAAGAAATGCAGAAACGCAAGGAAATTCAGCTGAGGTTGGTTTGGCTTTCATGGGATTTTTTTCAATGTTGCATTTGTGGGTTTTTTTAAATGACTTAAATATGAAAGTTTTTATTTTTCAAGAAACACCATTGCTGCTTCACTTTGTGTATGAGAAATTGAACGGCAGTGTAAGTTTTTCCTCAAGTATTTGAGCATCATAGAGTATCTTTTTTTGGGGAAGTGTAATCATTCAGTGCCTTTTAAGTTGCTCATGCAAGTGATGTTGATGAGATAAGTGCTCAACATGTTACACTCCTGGAGTTTAACAGTCTGCTTTGGGATGATCAGGCAGGAGGAGGAGCGTCGCAGGCGGGAAGAGGAAATGATGATACGTCAGCGGGAGATGGAAGAACAAATGAGAAGACAGAGGGAAGAGAATTATAGTAGAATGGGTTACATGGATCCAGTAAGTGAAATCATGATTTTTTTTGATACATGACCATGTTCGGGAATTTTTTGGATGTGTTTTCAAGACTGATGCATTTTGCTTCCTTTAGGTTAGATAATGTGATGTCTTTGTGTAGGTGAAATGGTGGTAGTTGGCTTTATCTCCTGAAAGGCGTGGATTTCAGTAGTTGATTATCTGTGCTAAAAGTTGTTTCTTCTATGCAGAGGGAGAGAGACATGAGAATGGGTGGTGCCACCACAATGAACATGGGAGGTAAAGAATTTTTAAATAGTTACTTTAAGTGGTTAATTTAGAAATTGTCAGAATATGATTATATATTTCTCTTTCTTAGATCCTTATGCTTCTGCAGCCCAGAAATTTCCACCTCTTGGAGGTGGTGGCGGCATAGGTTATGAAGCTAATCCAGGAGTTGGCCAAGCAGCCATGAGTGGTTCTATGATGGGAAGTGACATGGTAACGTATCCTGTGGTGGCTTTAGTTTAGCACAAGGGAAATGTTGTGGTTGGGAATTGAGTTCTCTACCAGTGTTCGGATGGTTGTGTAAATTTCACTGTTAACTGCTGACTTTCTTGTCAGGTATTTAATACGAAGACTGGTGTGGCAGTATGTAGTACTAGTTTAGTTCTTAACCATTATGGTAGCTTACACAGTCGGAAGTTGTTTGTAAGTAAATTCAAATGTGCTGTCAAGCATATTTGCAATTAACTCTGACTTTTATTGGACTTTGGAAATTCTGCGTCACTGTTAGGCTTGGAAGGATTTTTTATAAATTCTGGAGAATGACAAATTTCATAATTAAAATACATATGTAGTAACTTTTCAGTAATTTGACATTCTGTATTTATGGACAAGAGATTTTTGTTCTCCTTTCCAATGTGTAACATTGCATTTATTTTGGCCCTTCCAAGCCTAGTTAGGATTGATGCATGTTTGTATGGGTATGCTGTTAATTAAAAAATCTGCGCACATGTCTATTTAAGCAGCAGATTAACTTAATCAATGGTAAACAGCATATCACTTATTCTGTATGCTGATGTTTGCCATAGAAGAGCAGAAATGCTGTTTTTTAGCTTTAGGCATATTCCAGCGATCCTTGACTGTAGCCATTTTGTGGTTCCTATCTCACAGAGGAATGATAGCCCGTTCTTGTTTTTCCGTGTTGGGCATGACTGTATAGGTAGAGATTGTTAAAGCTACGGCATATCTCATGTTCTGAGGTATGTTTCCAAACTGTACTATTTTTGGCACACCATATGTGTGAATGGGCTTTGAGCCTGCTTGGTGTTATCACACTGAAGCAATACGGATGTAGATTAAAGAAATGCTTAATGGGTAGGATGGAAATCTATGTTGGTATAGGTGGTGATATTAGTGTGTTTTCACCCTCCTCAAAGGGTGTACACTCTGTAGCGCAAGCTGAAGTAAATGATTTTTGGGTGGGTTTAGGCCTCTGGCTTAATGTGGTGAGCTACCATAGTAGCTTGTCAGGTATCTTCCATTTTTTTGGGGAACCATATCTTTGGAATGATAACTTTGCAGAGCATCATTGATTCAGTAGACAGTGCCGGTGGCCTTAATGTATCTATATAATCTACTGATACTTAAGCAGTTCCTAAGTTTCCTGTGAACAGTTAAGCAGTCTGTGGTGAATGCTGTGTACATTTTTCTCCTGAAAATCATCGTACAGGTGCATGCTGAACTTGTGTAATACTTGAAAACGTGATGTGGTCAAAAGGTGTGACAGTAAGATGGTTTAACTGCCTTGAGTTTCTTAGGATGGGGATCTCTGCCACACAGTGCTGTCACAGTTACTGGGCTGATATCTTTTAAACAGAATTGGAGATAAGCTTGAGCTGCCATGAATTAGGCAGAAAGAACCTAGATAATCTTTCTGAAATTCTTTTCTTGGAAGGATTGAAACTAACTTTCAGAAGTCAAGAACTTGACGTGTGACTTTTCAGTTGCAGATACCTTTTGTAACAAACAAGCTACCATTGTTCTGTTACTCGGTAGTGGAAAACTTGCTTGAAATGAAAGTTTAAAGCTATCTTTGACTTTATAATTTGTCAGTTCTGTAGATTGAATGCTGATCACACCTACTGATACAGTAACTGAACGAAGTACATGCAACTAGAGGTACTAGTAAAAATACCTGAAGTCTCTGCTTTATTGCAGGGTAATTTAGCTTTTACATCTTGGTGTGAAACCTTTCAACGCTGTGAAGTTGTGAATTTTCCAAGAGCTTGTGGTGGAAATGGGGTGGGAAGGGAGATATTGGCTGGATGCACACAACCCTTTGTGCATAGTTCTAACTGGAATAAATTGTAGTTCTTTGAACACGTTTTGCATATTATACAGCAGCAGTTCCGGAGTACGTGGGATTTAACAAATGCAAGTCTTTTGATCGAGCAATTGCGTTGGTTAGGTAAATCACTGGTCACTAGCTTTTTTCACACTTTTTTTCTTCTTGCAATCCAGTAGTGCTCACAATCAGTTTTGGTTACTGCCTAAGGCCTCTGCAGTTTAGTCAGCAGACCGTAGTCTTAACCCCATCTTGAAAAGCACATGGTCTCTATTGCAGCACATGCCATTAACTGGTGAGTAGGCATTCTGTTTACAATGACATTTTATGAATGTCGGCTCATACTTCAGTGAACAGAAGATTTGTTCTCTGGCTAGGCTTATTTGGAAATGAGTGATGTGATCTAAGCTTTTACTGCACTAAAGGTGAGAAGTTTGCAAGCTATTTGCATTAACTTGGTTGAAAATTGCTAGAGCTCATTTGGAAAAGTTGTTAATTCACATCTGCACTAATGCTTACATTTCTAGCACTGCAGGGAGGATCTGTTCTTTGTAACAGATGTATGAGAATGCATCAAGTGGGAACATACCTCAAGGCATGTATTACAATAAACTAATTTTTAAATTACCCTTTTTTCCTTTCTATGTTCCCGGTACCTGTGGATCGGCTCAATGGTGATTGTATCGACGAACCTTGACTGCGGAACCTTCTAAAAATATATACTTAACACACATGGACATCAACTACATATAATGAACTGTTAATTCTGTTCCAATAGCGTCCTGAACGCTTTGGGCAGGGAGGTGCGGGGCCTGTGGGTGGCCAGGGTCCTAGAGGAATGGGGCCTGGAACACCAACAGGATATGGTAGAGGGAGAGAAGAATATGAAGGCCCAAACAAAAAGCCCCGATTTTAGATGTGACCTGTAGTTTCATTCCAGTTTGTTTTTGTCTGTCTTGTTTAGACACCAACTTTTTAATTCTTGCATTTTAGTAAGAAAGCTACGTTTTTATGGATGTTAGAAACTTACTGACCTAATATTTGTAAGTGGTCTGTTTGGGCGAGTACAATTTAATTATGTAATGCAGTGTTTCAAAACAAATTTAGCTGTTTTTTTGATGTATAACGTCCCTAACTTGATGGCAGTGTACCTTGTGCCACTGAATTCCCAAAGTGTACCAACTTTTTTTTTACTGTGCTTCAAATAAATAGAAAACTAAATGTAGTAACTCTTCTTGCCATTCGTGGTTAAACATACGAGGCTAAATACCACACCTTCCGCAGTAAACCAAGTGTCTTGAGTAGAGGTCAAACTAGACCAGGGTGTGGAACTGTAGTGAAGAGTGAGATCTCTTCCCCTAATGCCTCGAGCTTAAGATTGGGTCAGATAGTACCCTAACTTTCCAGTAGGTGCAGATTTTTTGAGCATTAACTGTGCTGCAATAAGGAAGCAAATGGAAATCTTGCAAGTGCTGTAAGATACAATAATTTACGCTACACTGCAAGCAGTGCAGTATGTAATGAATTTCATATTTTAGCTATGGATAATGGGCGGTGGGATGGTAGCACTTACCACCTTGGCAGTTACTGCTTGGAATCTTTTAAAGACTTTAAGCAGAAGACTAGCAATGGTTATTTTAAAATAAATTCATAGAATGACTTGTATTGGTTGACTTCCTAACTAAAGGATTGTTAATGTGATATTTATATGCTCTCAAGCTGTCTGAGATTACAGGATCTGGCCTTGCTCCGTATTGTATACTTATCTGAAATTGCTTGGCAAAAAGACCAGAAGTGTTACTTGAGTGATTACGGTTAACTTGCTTATGTCCTCATGCTAACTGAGTGGACTAATTTGCATAGTTCAGAATACAATTATTTGTATTACGGGGACTGCAGGAACTATTCTTAAATCATGTAGCTGGTGGGCAAATCCTAAAAACCTGTATGTAAAATACAGAAATTAGCTTGCTTGCATGATGGTTATCGCTCTTTTATTATTGATGTTTGGAGATAATGCATCAAAAGTAGTATCTGAATCTGGAGTTTAATAGTTAATCCTACACAGTACAAATAAACTCCCTTTAAGGTTCTTTTGTAGAAGATTTGATGAATTCGTTAGCTTGCTGTTCATTTTATTAAGCCCCAGAAGAATTTCAAAGCATTCTGGACTCATTGATAAGGTAGTTGCTTTGCTTATTATTACATTGTACCAGATAAGCTGGGAACATGACTTCCCAGTGTAAAATACCTTGGTGTTAATGCAGGATACATCAACCTGCTTGGCACAAAGTAGGTAAACTTAGTTTGGCTGTACCTTCACACGATTCCCCAACTACTGAGCATTCTGTGAGTAGCTTTAATCTTCCAAAGATCTTTCCATTCCTTGTGCTAAGCATTGGCTACTTCTAAATTCTATGCTAAATTTTCTCTGCGGTTAAAACTTCAGTGTCAGATTGCAGTATTTTAGAGTGCAGATGATCCCTCTTGAAGTACTCACTGTAAGTGCTGTTACTCCTCAAATGAAAAAATAGCATGTTGTGAAATGCTGATACCAGGTAACACTGACTTGGAATATTAAGCGCACTAAATAGCGACTCAGCTTGTTTGGTGAATGCTTCTTATTTTCCCAGAAAAGTTTGGGGGTTGATAACATGCTACGATAATGAATTGCTATTCAGGAAATTCCGAATTGGCAGTTCCTAAACTGCGGACCAAGTATTTGGGAGTACTTGTATTGGATACTTAGTTTAAAAATCAGCAGTACCGATGCAATTTGCTTTATTGAAGTAGTATTAAATAATGCATATGTTTTCTGGAGGGTGTTCGTGGGACACCCGCAAAAGGTGAAGGTGTCTGAGATGGGGAATTCTGAACGTAAACATTAAATTAATTTTTTCAGTTTATTTTTCAGATTACATGTCATTCTTTATTAAAGAGATGCTGGTGCATATCCTAAAGTATGTTCTTTTGTAGTTCTGTAACTTGGAAGAGTGAAGGATGCTGATGTCCTTGTACCTTACAGAGGTTGTCTTTTGGTACCCCTGTTTTGTACGTAAGCTACTGTTGCTAGGTATTAAAAACAGCTGAGTTGCAAAACCATGATTAGCAAATATATTGAAAGATTTGGCAGTTTTCAAAACATCTGAAAGTTTGGTTAAATCTAGCTTTGTTGTAGCTGCATAAGCAGAATTCTAAAACAAGTTCTGCTTTGAGTTGCATGTATTAAACAGGCATACAATTAACTAGCCAACTTCTTTTCAAGACCTTTTAAAGGTGGTGTCTTAAAAGCTGGCAAACATGTCAACTTTAAAATCTGATAAAGTTGCTAAATGTGGGAGGTGAGAAAGTTACGTTCCTTTGATCTGTTCCTATGAGGTTTTGGACTTTTTTCATAAAATCAGATTTATATAATTGAATCTTTAAAACCATTTAGAAAAGTGCTTCGTTGGTCAGACCTGTTTTTGGATGGTCTGGATCACATAACACATTTTTGTACTGGACTTGGAGGACATTGGCTGTTGCAATTTAGCTTGCTTTATCAAAATTGAGCCCATTTTGACACTTAGATCTCTAAAAACTGCAGCATGCAGAAACTGGTATCGTTATACATATATCTTCACGCTTTCTCAGAAATGAATACAGAATAATCTTATCTTCTGGTGTAGACACATTACACTAATCATTTATACAGCTGATGAGAAACTGAAACTGCTTTTGAGATTTTGTGGTATTTTTGTGGTAGAAAAATTCTTGGCTTCTCCTTGGCAACCATTTACTGTGGCAGCAAGTTTTTGCTGGAGTTTGAGACTGCAATTTACACTTAAAACTAGTGGCCTGCTACATAACTGCACTTAGCCAGCATTTCTGCAGTTCATAACTGTGAGGAACGTAGTACCACAAATGGCAATGGACATTAGGACCCGGATGTAGTATTCCTGCTTGCTCCAAGATTCTCATTGCCGACTGCATACAGGTAGGTAACAAGCAATATAATATAACTTGGTGACTTTCTATGTAATCTTATACTGTGGGTATTCTGACATCACACTTCTGACTGTGGAATTACAGTGCAGCACTCTTCATACCTGTATGTTAAGCTTGCATCAAAGCTGCGTGGTTTTCGGTTTTAAGCTTTGTCTTGTTCAGAGTCAATAAGCAACTTACTGTGATTCTTAGATAAGTATTTTCAGACCCGATTCCTTTGTACATGTGACTCGGCTTGTGTGGATTTTTTCTTAGTTCTGATGTAACGAAGATATTCTTAGAACGAGCTCTGTGGGGAAGAGGGAATGTGATCTTACACTCAACTAGTCAACTAGGTGCTGTCAGTGCCTAGAAAAGGACTGTTTAAACTTTCTGTAGTGACAAAATGGCCCATCTGCAGCGCATCCCTCTGTAGAGTCTTGGTTCAGTAGGAAATGCGTTAGTAAACACTGCTCTAGCCTTGTGTGCACTACGTGATAGTCACTTAAAGCTTGCTAATACAGTCAACTTTGAGACTGATGTGGGATATTTTTGAGGACATACAAATGAGTGCTTGAATGAATCCCTGTGGGTAGTTTCATAGAGCTTATTGGACATTTCAGTTGTCTTTATTTTAATCTTTGATAAGCGTAATACATTCCTCTGCCTTTAATTGACAGTGGTGAGATTCTGTATTTCTGCCTCATAGAGTCATCTTGGTAGTATAATGCTCAATTTCATTTTTCATCAGTCTTGGGGATGTAATTCTAAACTCTTCATTACTAGAAATACCGAACGTAGTGTTTCAGGATTAACATGCTTACACTTCCAGACATCCAGACATGCTGTTCTCCAATTCTTTTGCATTAGCTCTTGAACCTGAATTTCAAGGTCCCTTGCTTCAGCACATGACCTAGCTCTTGTCTGATGTTCAGTTTATTTCAGAGGTGTTGTAACGTGTTTTCCCGCTTGTTCTGCAAAGTTCTGCTTTGCACACTTGTTTCTGGTATTATTGTCACATTTGGACCCTTCTGTGTTATCTTCCAGGCGAGACTCTTGCTGGTGAACAGGGGATCTGCTGGACAGCCTTGCCCTCTGCTGTAGCTATCTTTTTATGTTCCATTGAAAGCTTGAAGTAGCAGCTACACCTTAAGATCATAATAACAGGTCTTTGGTTACACCACAGTGAGTGTAGCCGAACTCTAGCTAGTCAAGCAGTGACACCACTTGTCACAAAGTCAGTTTGGCTTTTCGTGATGCCTTACTCTTGCCTGTGACTAGAATTTGATAGCAAAACTGATGGCAGTATGCGTACTGTCGTGTAGCAAAACTGAATTATTAATCTCTAAACCAGTGCTAAGATCCAACTAGTTTTTCCAGTGTGCTCTGGATACTTGACTTGACCTGCAGGGATGTCGTGGAGGGGTTACTGGCACATCTGCCTCATTCTACGTACTTGAACTAGCAGGTTTTTGACATTCTTGGAGCAAGCAATTTGTGACTGAACCATGGGTCTCATACCAGCTCTGACTGTCTGCAGTAATGAAACTTGGCGTGGTAGCTAACTTAAAAGCAAATAGTCATGTCTGCTGTAAGTCAGTCTGTAACAAGTGGGTACAAGAAATGACATTAAAGTGCTTGCATTGTGTTTCATCTTGGTTTTATCTGTGTGTGAAATACACTTTTTCTCAAAAGCTTATCTGAAGCTCAGAAGTGTGGTGTCAGAATACATATGCGTACCTGCTAGGCCCTCAGATCCAGATACTGGTGCTGTCAGGAGAGAGCACAGCATAGTGTGTATGGGGGCTTTACTGTAACATTAAGCATACAAAGTGTTGATTTGCTTGCAGTTTTCCCCATAGCTAAACACTGAGGCCTGTGAGTAGTTTTAGGACTTGAGCAGTAATGGGGTTGCATGTCTCTGTTAATCATTGCCAGCTGCAGTGACATGATCAGGAAGGCCAGTGTTTTGTTCCATTATGTTAAATGAGGCTAAGCATGTTGGAAAGGATGCATAAAAAGTATGCTGTTCTGGGTAATTACTTGGCTTCTTCCACTATTAGCAAGTTTGGAATCGGCTAATTAGCTTCAGATTTTTTTTCTCTCCATACCAGCTAGTGGGGCTCTTTAAATAGCTGCTTACTGGAAAAGGAAAAAAAGGGAGGATTGGCCTTCTCCCACCTCTGTCATTGCTGCTAGATAATGATTGACACGTTAGGACTTGGCTGTGCAATCCCGCAGTGGTCTGTGAATACCCCATCTCTATAAATGTTGCTTCTGAACACCAGTACTGAAGAGCTAACTGGGGAGGGTTGGGAGGAGTGTGGCTATAAGTGAATCTGGAGTGTTAAAAGGATGCACAAAGATATAGTATCCCTTATGCATGGTGTTTGTTGCTATGGCATAGAAAACAAAACGTGCATACTATACTTCTGCTCCTGAGGGCCATGATAAAACCCGGGTGGTGGGTTTGAGACTAAACTTGAACTTTGCCCTGCCTGGTCAGATCACATTGTGACCATGGTGTGATTTGCCTCCCAGCTAGAGGTGTGCACAGAACCTTGTACTACTACATCCCCAGCTGCTGACCATTGCAGTTTGCCCTCAACTTAGCTATATAGCAAAAGGGTGGATCTTCAGAAGGGAAGAATCTGTTGCTGAGAATAAAAGCAGTAGACTGACAATGCTAACCTCTAGTGTCTTCCTTTGGCTTTTGAAGCACTTCTAGGACTATCGAACCTGAGGGCTGCTAGGAGTCAGGGACGTTGCACTCCTTCATGAAGGGGAAGAGAGAGGGCGTTACTACAGGAGACAAACTAGGGTAAAATAGTTGAAGTAGCTTGACAAAATTGTTAATGCCTTCACATAAGGGATAGTATACCTCTGGCTGCAATCAAACTTCATTGTACTCAGACTGGTGATTTACGGTTTGTGCTCAGACAAGGTGCAGTTCTTGAGTCAACTACCTGCATATTCCTTCATCTCTTTACAAGTGTTCAGGCTAGCCTATTTCTGCCCCTTATTCTTCCACTTAATATTTTGGAATAATTTGTAAATTCCCCCTCATAACTAATCAGTCCATGTATCTTAAAACCTTATTTTTAAGTTAGTTTTGAAATGGTCAGAATTTTCTGTGTATTACTATAATAACTTCAGTTGTTATCCTTTAGGTGAAGATGAAAGCTGAGTGAAACCAGAGTGCTCATCCATGGGAAGTAAGCATAACTTTTAGTCTTGTTCTGAATGGGTGGAATAATAAAGGCTTCTGGGCGCTTGATTTTCAGTCACTGAATAACTTTGAATTGGTGAATATTGAGAAATCTGTACAAGTGAATACACGAAATATGTAGGGTAGAGCTTAGTACCTGCTGTCAAGCTGTGGGGTTAAGCACCCAGGCTCCATCTGGGCTTGATATCTTGACAGCAGTGGTTAAAAATACCTGTCTAGACGTGGGTTTGTACAAAAGATTTCAAAATCGCCGTGAGTATAACTTCTGAATATTTTTCCAGTTCAGGAGCCGAGCATGAGCACATCCAGCACAATGCCCAGTGATCTGTGGAGGGACCAAGATGATAAGTGAACAAGTAAGTTGTCGGTGTCCTTATACTGCTGTAAGAGCTCGGTAGCCCATCACCCTGTGATGTATTATGTAGTTCCTGCCTGAAATTTGCCCTTGATTAATCTCATTTTTATATAAAATTTCTGAATATTTCTTTTGTAGAGCTGAGATATAACCATTCTTTGAGGCTTTTCAGCCCTGCAGCATCAAATAAACTCTGTCCTTTGAATGCTATAGGTGGTCAAACAAGAAATAACCATTCCTCCATTCGGGCTCCAGTGAAAGGGGTGTGAATGGGGTGGGTGATGGTCAGTGCGTGTTGTGGTTTAACCCCAGTCGGCAACTAAGCACCACACAGCTGCTCGCTCACCCTTGCCCCCCCAGTGGGACTTGAAATAATAGAATAATAATAAAAATTTGTAATGGAAAGTAAAACGAGAGAGAGCAAAACAAACAACGCCCAAAAAACCTCAAGTGATGCAACTGCTCCCTGCCTGCTGACCGATGTCCAGCCAGTCCCTGAGCAGCGGTCGCCGCCCCCCAGCCAACTCCCCCCTGTTTACATACTGAGCATGACGTCCCGTGGTATGGAATATCCCTTTGGCCGGTTTGGGTCAGCTGTCCTGGCTGTGCCCCCTCCCAGCTTCTCGCTGGCAGGGCGTGAGAAGCTGAAAAGTCCTTGACTAGTGTAAGCACTGCTCAGCAACAACTAAAACATCGGTGTGTTATCAACATTATTCTCATACTAAATCCAAAACACAGCACTGTACCAGCTACCGGGAAGAAAATTAACTCTATTCCAGCTGAAACCAGGACAGTAAGGAAAAAGGGGAACAATAGAACAGCTGCTTCTCAAATGTTAATCTAACTAAAAGTTGTTAAAAAGCTACTTTTCTGAAATATTTTAATGAACATTGAACTTTGAAAATAACCTGGAAGATGAATTAGCACATACAAGAGCACAAGCAGATAGTGATTTAGGGAAATAAACTAACTTGCAGAGCTGGAATTAATGAAATTTTCCCTCTAATTCACCACTTAAACTACAAGGGGGAACTGCAGATATTTAAAATCTTGTGTGAGGCGCAACGTGCAAAGTACCTTAACTCAGGAGTGATGGGTAAGTAAGAGCGTAGATATGCCACAACTGAACCTGCAAGACGCGGAGCTGGTGAGATTCAGTTGGTGAACTCCTGTTGAATCGTGTGTGATTTGTCACTGCTGCTCTTGTTTTTCTGGGTAGTAAAACACAGAGCCGTTTCAGATCTTTGAAATTTGAGCAGTAGATGAAAATGTGAATGCTGTTCGTTTGATCTCAAGTCTGACATGAGAACTTAGGATCCTAGAGGATGTTTGACAGGTGCATGGCCTCTTGTGATGCACTGGTTCCCTTTCCATGTCATTACCTGTAGTTGCTGCTGGTGTTTTTAATGTTCTTGCTAACTGTGTGCTTTGCACTTGCAGAAGAAGAAGAAGTCCGAATGCAGTGAAGACGAGCCAGGAACATCAATTTTTAAAAATAAAGTACCTATTTTTTTTATAAATGACTTCTGTTTTATTCCAGAGTGTATTCAGTGAGTAAGCATCTGTTCAGCTTCATGTGGTATGGATGAATTTGGGGAACGGTGCCACAAATGAGGCTGCAGAAGGGGACACAGAATGTGCTTGGAGCGCTGGAGTGAGAAGGGCATGGGTTGTCGGGTCCTGCTCTGTAGTGTGACAAGCACAGGAAAGACAACCACTCGTAACTAATAACAAACTGACAGATACATAGTACAGTATTTTTTTCCTGCTGGGCTTGTGCCATGGGCTTACTCTTGTAGTTAAAGTGCTCCGGTTTTCAGGCTAGCTGTATTCCTGACCAGCGTGCAGCCATAGGTGCTTTTGCTAAATGACTAGCTAATTCTTTTTTTATAAATTACACTTGCACCTAAGGCATTTCAAGTATTTCTGGAAGTTTCACCCATTCCTTCCCCCATCTCGAGTCCTGTATACTGCTGTATTTTTAGATCATAGAATTAGAAATGTTGACGTGTGCCTGGTTGGATTTTAATAGTTTTCTTGGTGATGACTGTAGTAATTGAGCCCGAGATACCAAAGTGTAACAAAGAGTTCTTTGGGAGCCAGAAAAGCGCTGGGTTTAGCTCTTGCAGCACAAGTTACCGTGGTTCACATGGCTTCATTTGGTTCTTTGGACAGCTGTGCTGTGCACATACGTAGTTCATGTTGTCATTTATTAAACACAATCCTTTGTTTAAATACCAGGTAGTTTAATGTGTTAAAATGTGCCAGCTGCATTGTGCAAGGTTTTCCCCTACAGCGGCATGAAGAGTCATGAGTGTTTGGCTGGGAACTGCCTTCCCAGGCTAGGAAGATAAAATAAATTGGATTTAATGTGGCAAAACTGTATGAAATACTTGATGTGTCTGGGTGTCCAGCGGTGCAGGATTAGTGCCTGGCTGGAACACGACTCACCTGTGCTTTAAATCCCAGCCAGGAATATGTTTTGCTTTGGCTCAAGCACTGTTTGTGTACTTCCTTCTGGGGAAGTCTGGTTTACAAAGCAGAGTAAGGTTGGTCAGAACTGCTGTAGCTACATTTCTGATGTTGACTCCATGTTTTATAGCAGTAAGCGTAGATGAGCAGCCTCGGTGCCCACCTCCGCTCCCTTGGCATGGCAGCCTTGGTCAGACGAGAGGAGCTGCTGTTGGACGGTCAGGCCCGTGGCTGCACCCCAGTCCTGAGCGTCTGGGGCTTGGGTAGAGGGAAGGGACCTGCCAGCCGAGGCCAGCGGGGTGCAGGGGTGCTTTGTGGCAGCTGAGCGGGTTTATGGTGGAGAAGGTTGGTGCTGCATTAAAAGCTGCTAACTGCTGCGTTTCACCTTCTCGTGCGATCAAGCCAGTGGGTACAGGATAATCTGAGGTACTTCATGCTCCGATTTGACTTCTTTACGTTATTGTCCAGATCCTGAAAAGGCTTCAGTGAGAAGAGGTTTTGTCATTCCTCAATAGCTGCGCTGCAAGGGGGTGGGTTTCAGTCTTTGTCTCCACAGCTACTGCAGGCTTATGCAGCCTTTTTTTCCTCAAGTTCTGTTATTTTCCAGTAACTTGTCCTAATTTCTTTTCTACTGTTGCAGCATTGGCTGCTTCCTATGTGAAACTGTTCCAGCCCGAATGTGATTCCAGCATTCAGCGTGCTGAACTTCACCTCCTACAACTCCCTTTATAAGCAAACAGTGTTTTGCTTTCTGTATTGAAATGGGATGTGGAGAATGGCAAAAAGCCCCCCAATTTCTCCGTCGGCCATTCTGTCATCGCCTGGTAGATGACTAGCACAGAGGTGTTCCTCGAATGGCTGGGCGCAATGCCGGTGGGTGGTTGTCCTCTGGCTGGTAAAGCTGATCCCTTGGTTCTACCAAATGTTTCATTAAGTAGCTCCTGTAATTAAAACAAAAATTGGAGGCTAAGAGGTACCATGTGGATGGTGTTAAGAGTCCTGCCTGGCCAGGCGGCAGCGTTTACCTGCCATCGTGTCCTGCTGTGAGGGGCTTCTCCGAGCTGTGGTGCTGTGCTGGGGCTTGGGAACGGCGCGACCCGCGGGGCAGGACGGTGACCGGCTGCCCCATCAGCGGTGCGGGTGCAGCCCTGGGCTCGGCCCTGGCTGCCTGGGAAATGCAAACACGCGGTGAAGGCATTTTGCAATGTTTTGCACAAAAAAACCACCTCTGTCCTGGCTGTGAGTGGGCTCTGTTCTGTGGCGGGGGCGAAACGCTGCTGTCAGAGAAAGGAGATGGTTCTCTTTAAGCTGAAGGAAGACGATTTCTGCGGGCGGGCGTCTCCTTGGCTTGCTCGAACAACAAACCTGGGAACAGTGACAAATGCTTCCTGCGGTAACGCCAGTGCCTGCAGCCACGACCCGTGCTGCAGGCGTGAGGGCGCTGAGCTGCCGCAATCCGTTGTTCAGGGTGGGTTTGGTCTTCTTTTTTTTTTTAAATCCTTTTTCTTTAGGGGCTTTCTGAGACAAGAAGGGCCGGAGCCTGCCCTGGCCTGTTGCTGTTTATCATCCCTCAGCTCGCGAGTGGAGCAGGGAGAAGCTCCTCAGCTGCGGCTCTCCCAGCAGAGCTGGGGAATGATGAGCTGCCGGGAGTAAAAATAGCGCTGCCCCTGCACCCCCGTAAAGCCAGGCGGCCGCGGCACAAGGCAGCAGCGCGGGGCCCCGGCTGTGCTGGGGTCAGTGCTGGTCCAGGCCAGCGGTGCCCCCTTGGCTGCGTGGCGCTTCCCTGTGCCTGGAAAATAGTTCCTGCTCTTTCATGATTTATTGGTATTAAAAAAAAATTTCCACTTGAATTAAAATAACGTCGGTGTCCCCGCGGCTCCCCTGGGCCCTGGCTCTCGTCAATCCAGGGCTGCCCTTTCCGGGAGCCTCGGCGCGTGCCGGTGGCCAAGACGTGACGCGAGCAGCGCTGGCGCAGGTGGTGACGCAGGCCTGGGGAGCGCGCGGAGGGCGCCAGCCGCCCCCTCTACCCCAACCGGGCCTCCCTGGTGCCAGAAGAAAATCCTTGCTGCAGCTGCCTCGTTCAGCGGAGCT